TCTCTCTCTCTCATGTAATTTATAAAAATCTTAAAATATAACCAATGATTGTATTTGCGTTAAACACGTGTAGAATTATAGACTAAACTTTTAAATAAAAACAAAAAACTTTTGAATTAAAATATTTTGTTAAAATAAATAACGATTTTAGATATTGTTTAGTTGTGTTGCGAATCGTTTGCTCGGCGTTTGAGCGGTGATTGCGATGAGTGCAGAAGTGATCGCTGGACTCAATCTGACGCCCGAACAGCAAAGGAGCGGAGCGTTTGGCAAGAGTCCCAAATGTGCCCGATGTAGGAATCACGGCAACGATGTCGTCTATAAAGGTACACAACTAGTGTTGCCAAATAATATTATGAATATCTTGTATAAATGTGAAAAAATTGTCAACAATTCCTGTATTATAGCTTATTTTTCAAATATTTATTCCTGTATTTTGTGAAAATTCCTGTATAATACAGGAAATTCTAGTATGTTTAGTAACCCTAGACACAACATCACTACACCCATTACATTCACTAATATATGAATTGTAATTATTTTAATTATTCTTAGCCGTAGACTCTAATGTTAAAATTCATTTATGACATTAAACATTGAATAAACGCTGAAATGAACTTAAAAGTAATCATTTTTATGATTTTCATATCAAATGCTATGAAATACAATGAATGAGTTTTAACATTAGAGTCTACGGATAAGAGTTATTGAAAACAATACAATTGATATATTCACAAATATATTGACTCATATTTATTTGATTTCAATATGAAAGGTCACAAAAGGAAGTGCCCGCATAAAGAGTGCAATTGCAGCAAGTGCATTTTAGTAGTGGAGAGACAGAAGGTAATGGCCGCACAAATAGCACTCAGAAGACAACAACATCAGGAGGACGAAGAGAGACAAGACATGGAAGAGGGATCAACAACTTCTTCGCAGACCAACCACTCGAACGACAATCAAACAAATTCACAGCAAAATAGTGCTAAAAGTAGTGCCAAAAGTAGTGCCAAAAGTAGTGCAAACAGTAGTGCCGACGAAGACATCACTTTAATAGACACCGATTCCGATGAAGGAATAGATTTCATAAATGAATCGTTAGACGATTCTTATAATGAAAGTCAGTATTTATTCATTATTAGTATTATTATTGTAATGTATAATAAAATAGTGTAAATGTTTTATTTTAAACATTATTCAAAACACATTAAACAGATTCTGATTCGGAATCGAATGAAGAGATGACCAAAAAAGCGAAGAAATTGTTTCACTCAATGAAAAGTCGAGGAATTGATTTAAATTCTGTCACATTTTACTTATTGTATACAATACTTGACTGCAATAATAAATGTATCAAACAGTCGACCGAAAGAATATTGAAATGTAAGTTTTGGTAATCATTTAATACAACTAATTTTATTTCTATTGCAATATATCTATAAATTTTAAAATAATAACAGTTTCTTTCTAACGTAAAACTTTATGTACTTTATATTAATAATTGATTGATGTGTTGATTAAACAGCTATTTCTAAAGTGAATCAAGATTTGTTGGTATCTATCAGTGAATCCAAACCTAAGAGCTATAAAGCAAAACGAAAAAGGCATTCAGAGGAGCCATTAATTCATTCAAATCAATCCAAAAAGATTATTAAATCACCACAAGTTTTAGCTAATAGATCCCATGTATCCGCCACTCAAACCAATCAAACCAATCATTTAACTAATACATCAGCAATGAATTTAAATGTTGTGACGACAATCACGACACCAGTTATGCCATCCGTCACCTCTGGTTCTCATATACTGAGTCCATCGCCGACCACATCTGGTATATCATCCATTCAAATGCCACTCATCAGCCCTTTTGTCAACAGTGATGCACAAAAGAATGACAATTGGATTAATATTATGAAACGCTTACCCCCTTTGCAACCGATGAGACCGCCGCCGGTCACCAAATTATGTTTGATATCTGGTATATCATTCATACCAATGAGCAATAGTTCATCGACGGGTTCGAGGTCATTTTTGGTCAAAAATAGTGCCCCGAGTCAGCCACTCATCAGCCCTTTTGCCAACACTAATGTACCAAAGATTGACAATTGCAGTGATATCATGAAACCCTTACCCCCTTTGCCACCGCTGAGACCACCGCCGGTCACCAAAGTATGTTCGTCGACGGTATCGACGGCCACCACATCACCGACGATACCATTAATCGATTTGACCATCACTTCCGAAACAAACTCCACGTATAAAAGGGTGTCTCATATGGAGGATCCCATTAACATCACATTAAGCTCAAGACTTAATGCTAGAAAAAGTTTTAATACGAATTAAAATGTTAAACATATTAACTCACTGTTTGTGTTTGGCTTTTGAATAGATATGCAATGAATGCGGTGTTTATTCACTAATGAGTCGTGTTTTAATTACAAACATTAATTATAAGTTATAATTTATAACAAAATTCTAATAGACGCTAACCTCCGCCAGACGTTTATAGAACTTTATACTAAACTAAATAAATCGAGGGCAAAAAATTCACAAAAAGTGTATTTATTCAAAATGAATCTATTTTTATACAAATAATAAAATTATTATTAATTTTACATTAAAATGCTTAAAAATATATCCAATGGAAAGACTAGTATTTCAATTGAATTAAACATCAATTATAAAAACTAATGCTATTATTATAATAATTTAATTATGAATTACATTGAATTATAAAATTATTTACATTTAAATATGTATTACAAATGATATTAAAATGGTATTTATTGAGGTAAAAATGTTATCAATTTTATGAACCTTTTATAAACGAATTAATTAAAAAATCAATTTTAATTTCACATACAAAACAAATTAAATCACATAAAAACATCTCAGACTTTATCAACGCATTCAATGGTTTGTCTGATATATTACTGACACAGGGAGGGGGACAGTGAGTAAATGCCCACAAGGGGTGGGGATTAGAGTGGTCTAGGCTAGAGGGTGGGGGCAATGGGGCTAATAAGGGATTGTAATTAATAAAATTGAATCAATTAAATGCTAAATTACACAAAAAACAAATCATTTAATAAATAAACGGAGAGATTGAGAGATACGACGGGAATGTGTGCACCAGTAGTGTCCAGTCGAGTACCATCACCAGCAGTACAATCACGCGGCCGCCTGAGCCCAGTTGGACAGCGGGTTAAACACGTCGTCTTTGAGCGTAAACTCAGATAGAGTGATATAGACGGCCACAACCAGCCCGATGACTGAGGCCACGTAGATGTTGTTGCGAAATATGATACAGGTGGCCACGCACAGGCCCAAGTAGGTGGCGTATCGGGCCAACGAGATGTGGGTCTCGCGTTTGTTGGCCTCCGGGTCCAGACATATGCCGTCCTTCAGTACGTGGTTTTGCGCGCATTTCAGGCACTGATAGAGATTTAGACATTCAGCCATTAGTGTGATATTTAAAATGATTGATGGTAATTGTGTTGATAATGATTAAGACATAAAAATATATAGTCACCGAATCTGGTCCGTCGCCATTACACCCGTCGCACGCTTTGTCGCACTCTGCCATTTGGGAATATAATGAGCATGGTATTAGTTTTATGGTTAGTTTATAATTTATAAATTAATTTTAAAAATGCAATTTAAATAATAATAATTTATTCATTCAATAAATTAATTAATTATAATGTTGTGGAAAATAAATGAGTTTTTAGTTTTGAAACAAAATTAAACAAACATTAATAATTTAATTCTAGCTAATTATTAACTATGGTAACAAAATGTATCAAAACTCGTGTGACTTTCAATTTGAATAAAACAAATAAACATAAATTATATTTAATTTAATTAAATTTTCCGCAATTTCCGCATTTTACTAAACTCTCGGCACTTATGCCAGAGCCGGGCGGTCACACCCAACCGCATATCACTGGCCACTACGCCAACCGGCCATCGCTGACCAGCAGTCGGACACTGGTATCTAATCGACAGCAAACACTTACGGTAACAATAAAACGAGCCCTCAGTGTTAATACAAAAAGCGTTAGACTCGCACGGATTGACCCCCAGATCCACACACTCGTCCACATCAACGCATCCATAGTCGCCGTCCCATATATAGCCGGCGGTACAAACCAGACAGCCCTTCGGTCCACCCGACCGGCACCCGGAGGCGCAACTCTTGTCGCACGGCTCGCACGCAGGCAACTGTCCATCGGCTACCGTCCCGTTCGCGTAGTGATCATTAGCGCATTGGCCGCAGTCGGCGCCGCCAAACCCACTATCGCACAGACACCGGCCGGAGCCGTCGCGGGATCCGTTGCCAACGCAGACGCCCCTATCAGAGCACACGTGGTCGGGATGGCCGGCGCACGGCTTGCAGTCCGGCCCGTAGTGTCCCGCAGGACAGCACGCCTTCATCTGATCCATACACAGGTAGTCGTAGAGAGACTGGCCGTTGGCTGCGGACGGCTGGCGCCGGGAGAACCACCAGTTCTCAATCTGCGGCTCGTATTCTTCAGCCAAATGGTGGCACTAATAGACGACATCGAAGAGAGAGAGAGAGAGAGAGAGAGAGAGAGAGAGAGAAAACAGGTGTTGAAAACATGGTATAAATGAATGGCGAGAGGGAAAAGGGGTGTTGAATAAAAGCGCACCTGATCTTTGCCAGTGGCCAACTCTGAGCAGAGCAGCTCCTGAATCTCGGTCAGTCTGATCTCGGAGTTGGCATAGGAGCCCATTTTGGCCTCTTCCCAGTGCGTGTCTCCGCCCTCGAACTTACCACGAGCTGTACGCTCCACGCCCTGTGTGTGTGTGTGTCCACCCCATTGGCCATCGCATCACATGTGCCGTAAATTTAATATTATTATCTATATTCATAATCTAGATTAAAGCTCTCTCTCTCTC